ACTTTGGGCCAATCAGCAGGAGACTGGGAGTTCTAGTCCCGCCTTTGACATGAAAGCCAGCTGGGTGGCTTTGGGCCAGTCACCTACCTCAGCCCAACCCACCTCACAGGGTTAGTTTTTGGGAGGAAACAGAAGAAGGAAGTAGCGTTGACTGATTAATCCACCTTGACTTATTGACAGAAAGGTGCAATATGAATGAATGAAAATTATAAACTGCTCTCGGCTGCAAAAATTATGGCGGAAGAAAAGACCAGCCCTATAAGATGTCACAGGACTTCCAAAGGATCACAAAAGCAGAACTGAAATCTGGAACCCAAAGTCCTGGCTACACCTACCGCTTTAGAACGATAACTTTTGATGCTGTCCACAAATTTCAGCTGTGCCATCTCATCTTCCTCAAAACGCAAACCTTAACAGAGACCAAAAATGAAAGAAGGGTCAACTGTTGTGCTCTAGGAAGCCTATACAACTGGATTCCCACATCCTATTTACTCCTGATTGGAGGAATCCATTGCTCACACATGCCTGGACCATAAAGTTCTCTCTAACCAAAGAGACTAGATTCACGCAAGGCCCAAAGTCCGCCTCAAAATGAGCCAACGATAATGTTATGTTAAGGTGGGTGGACTTCAATGTTAAGGTGGATGGACTTCAGTTCCCAGAATTCCCCAACCAGCATGCTTTAAGATGGGTGAACTTCAACTCCCAGAATTCCCCAGCCAGGATGCTTTAAGATGGGTGAACTTCAACTCCCAGAATTCCCCAGCCAGGATGCTTTAAGATGGGTGAACTTCAACTCCCAGAATTCCCCAGCCAGGATGCTTTAAGATGGGTGAAGCATGCTGGCTGGGGTATTCTGGGAGTTGAAGTCCACCCATCTTAACGTGGCCAAAGTCGAGAAGGAGCTTCCTTATAGTACTTTACAACATCCGGAAATACTCACTGAAGAGGGGATGAATCCCTACCAGGCTGAACTCCATTTCTTTGACCCTCTTGATGGATTCGGAGGACGAACTTGGCCGGGATTTTTGGTACTGTTTCAGGGCATTGTCGGAGACACGACGGAGGTTCTGCAGGTCAAGGGAACGCTCGTGGTCAGTCTGTAGCAAGCTCTCCTCATCATCCAGGACGATTTGCGGAACACGGCCAAAAACGCCGTCTGAATCTGGGAGGAGGATGGGAAAGGAGCTCCATTATTGCCAGAAATTCAGTAAGTCATAAGAGAGAATCGAACTGCCGGCAGTGGGCAGAATTAACCTGCAACACTGCGGACGCAAAGGGACGCGGTGGTGCGGTGGCTAAGATGCTGAGCTTGTCGATCAGAAAGGTCAGCAGTTCGGCGGTTCGAATCCCTACGGAGTGAGCTCCCGTTCCTTGTCCCAGCTTCTGCCAACCTAGCAGTTTGAAAGCATGTGAAAAAATGCAAGTAGAAAAATAGGGACCCCTTTGGTGGGAAGGGAACAGTGTTTCATGCGCCTTTGGCGTTTAGTCATGCCAGCCACATGACCACGGAGACGTCTTCGGACAGCGCTGGCTCTTCGGCTTTGTAACGGAGGTGAGCACCGCCTCCTAGAGCCAGAAAACGACTAGTATGTAGGAGCAAGGAGAACCTTTACTGTATTCTAACCATTGAGAGTCACCACGTCTCATGGTCCTGTCGCTTTATTCAGCGCTGTTTTATTTATTACTTCAGCCACTAAGCGAACAGTTGTTAAGTTGAGGACTACCTGTGGGCTTCTGATGAGGACTGGCGAAGACCAGTGGCCGTCCCAGAAACAGGTGCAGGTCAAAAACGTAAGGGATCTCATCTGGAGCCACAAGGGAGTAGGCTGTTCCGGTCCTCCCCGCACGAGCCACTCTGCCTAGAGGGAGAAGACGAAAAGTCAAAAGGGGTTTTTAAATAAAAAGGACCAAAAAGCACACACACGCACAAAGAAAAAAGACAAAAAACAACAACAACGAAGCGATTTTAGCATGAAACACAGGGACAGGCAAACAAAAAACCAAAACCAACCCAACCTACCAAGATTCCCCCCTTTAAAAAAAAATAAAATAAAATCCCTGAATAAATGATGTTACCTAGTTGGGTATTGAAACATCTGCAAGAAAACACCCAAGCTCAGAGAACATCAAAGACCCCACAGTCTCTTCCTCTTCCCCGCAGCAATAAGCAGAATCATAAAAATAACCCTGGAAGGCTCCAGACTTTAAGAAACTCACCGACGCGGTGCAGGAAAAGCTTAGCCTTGGCTGGGAAGCTGTAGTTAATCACATTATCCAGAAGAGGGATGTCAATCCCGCGAGCGGCGAGATCGGTGACAATCAACACTGAGCATTTGCCATGGGCAAACTTGCCGATGTTGATTTTGCGAGCCGTCTGGTCCAGAGAGCTGTAGATGTTGGTGCAATTCACCCCCTGCAGGGTCAGCAGCTGCAAAAGACACGCATCCGTCATGCCAGGAAAAAGTCAGCAAGCTGTTGTGGCCGGCAGCCGAATCGAAGGAGGCGTGGGAATCGGGGTCAGCATCCGGATAACCTGGGAGTACTGAGGGGGGAGACGGAATGGAGCTGGCAGAGAGAGAAGGAGGGAGGGAGGTAGCCTGGGCCCCCCGTCAGCCCTCCGATGGAGAGTCAACAGCCCCCAGGTCTGGAGGTGGCTGATGAGGAAGAGGAGGAACAGCTGGGCCCAGTGCCTGACTGCAGATGCACAGAAGGCAGAGGAAAGAAGAGCAGTGGAAATCTATGGGCCGGACCTTGGGACAGAAGAGATTTGCTTAACCACCAGGTACTAATTGAGTAACTGCAACAATTTACTTAACTACTCTTGCAAGATAACTCATAAAATGGGGCAAAACTCACTTAGCAACATACATTTTGGGCTCAATTGTTGTTTTAAGTCGAGGACTGTAATTTCAAACAGTTATTTGATGAATGCCGTCAGTCAAGAACTACCTGGATGGGGTTTTTTTTTCCTCCTCCCTTTCCCTTCCTTTTTTAATTTCCTTAGGGCACACATTTTAGTTCTCACCTGGGCACCGAGAGAAAACTCCAAACTCCTACGGGGGAAAAAAAAATGCCCCCCCGTTCCCCAGATTTTGTGCAAGTAATCCGCTGTAACTCTGAACGGTGTTGCTACGTGGACCCTCGTTAGGAGGTGAGGACTACAAACCCTCTTCTTTCCCCCAAGGCAATTGGGGTGGGGGGGCTGCACGTACCTCCTTCAGGTATTCTGTGTGATGTTTGGTAGCCACGAACACAATGGTCTGGTCTTGTGGCTTGACCACTGTTCTCAGCAGATGCAAGAGAAGGGCGGGCTTGTCGTCAGCTCGCACGTGAAAAAACGACAGCTAGGAAAAAGGAGGTCAGGACACAGGATCACAAGGCTGGAAGGGACCTGGGGAGGTCTTCTAGTCCAACCCCATCCTTAAGGCAGGACAGCTTATACCGGTGGTGGCTAACCTTTGGGGGCTCCTGTGCCAAAAAGTTTGTGTGTGCTAGCACGCACACTCACATGCCAGCACCCAGAATGCAATGCGCATGCAACACACCACCTGGGCATGCGCGCGCAATCCCCACCCCCACCCCCTTACCTGCACTGTGCCTCACAACTGATTTTCCAGCTGGTTTGAGGCCTTTTTTGGCCTCCCAGAAGCTTGGGAAAAGTCTCTGAAAGGCTTTTCAGGCCAAATAATAGGCCTGTTTCATCACTTCTGGTATTACAGGAAGTCACAAAATGAGCCTATTATTCGGCCATAACAAATAAATAGCCTACATCAAAATAAGGGGTCAGCTCTGACACTGGTCTGACTTGAGGCCATCTAGGACACGGGGGCTCAGTGGCTAAGATGCCGAGCGTGTCGATCGGAAAAGGACGGCAGTTTGAATCCCCAGGGCCTCATCACAGACGGAGCTCCGGTTCCTTGTCCCAGCTTCTGCCAACCTAGCAGCTCGAAAGCACGTAAAAAAATGCAAGTAGAAAAATAGGGGCCACTTTGGTGGGAAGGGAACAGCGTTCCGTGCGCCTTTGGCGTTTAGTCCTGCCGGCCACATGACCATGGAGACGTCTTCGGACAGCGCTGGCTCTTCGGTTTTGTCACGGAGATGAGCACCGCCCCCTAGAGCCAGAAACGACTAGCACATAGGTGCCAGGGGAACCTTTACCTTTTATTTAACGATCAATTGCTCTCTTTTAATTTTCTTCCTTCCTGGAGGGGGTCATCTCAGCAACCAGGAACTGGTTCGTTCAACCGTATTTTTTTGAACTTTTTTTTTAAAAAGAACATTCCAGAAACCCAAGCCTCCCACTGAATCATCTCTACCCTATCCCAAGTGGGCCGTTATAAGGAGATGTTGACCGTTCCTACCTTGAGTTGCTCGCTCAGCTTGGATTCCACATCCAGTCGGATCAATACCGGCTCCGTGAGACCTAAGAGAAAGAGGAACAGACGGTCAAGTCGCTGGGTGTGAGCAGACCCTACGATGGAACGGTTTCAAGTCAAGGGTGGGACAGCACGGAGAACAGACGGCAGGTCCTAAAATGGATCCCACTTGATCAAAAGCATCCACGAAAGAGACCTATAACAAGATGGACCAATGGACCTCCGCAGGTCTAGCAGGCCCGATTGGCCAAAGAAAGCCCCAGGACCATCTGGATTGGAAACAGGCCGAAGAGGCCTTCATCCCACAACAGATGGACAATGGCTACCATGAGGGTGATGAGACTGTATATATGTTTACTTCTCTTCTGTCATGTTCTCATCGTCATCATCGTTTAACGAACCCATAATCCCCTGTGGAGTTGAGTCTGAGCAACTAAATGGAGCTAGCAGTGTCTTTTACTGGCCAGATGCCTCTCCTGTCGCCAATACAGAGTTTTGTTCAGCAGATAATAATTTCATTGTGCCCAGAGAGAAATATCTGCCTCTACCTAGGATTGAACTCACAGCCTCCTGATTGTGAGGGGAGAGCTCCACCTCTAGGCCACGCTCTCATCACATGCTGCACAATAATAATTTTGGCAGTCTACACATTACTCATCCCAGTTTTCAAGAACCATGTATCCGTTTCGAGGCACAGAATGCAGGCCAGGAGGAGGAAGATGAGATGATCTCAGCTTGTATCAAGCCAAGAAAGAGACTCGCGTCAGAAAGAACCCAATACGTTCCTCTGCGCTACGTCCAGCTCCCCAACCACCCCATGAGAAACAAACACAGCCTGGACCATCTTCTCACCAGCTTGAGCGAACTCCACAAGAAGTTTTGGCAAGGTGGCCGAGAAGAGCAATGTCTGGCGACCGTCAGGCAGCCTGGAGACGATCTCCTTCAGCTGTTCGGCAAAGCCCATCTCAAACAACCTGGTAGGGCGAGAGAAGAAAAGGACCTTAAAACAGATTCTGTAGAAGATCCAGACAGCCTTGGTGTTCAACTCATAAAGCACTCCTATGCCTGTTTCCAAGTTGCCATAAGCGGGGGGAGAAGGGGGGGACCTGAAAGAGCAGTACGGCAATTAAAACCAGAACTACATTCCACGCTTATCTTACAAAGGTTGTAGCCTAGGCTACTGGATCTTCTTCCCATGAAAATCCTTCATCGGGAATGTGACTGATGACACCAGCCTGGCTTCGCTGGAGAATCTGATTTATGACAAACCCGGGGGGGAAATAGGGTCACAGGTGACCATAAATTACGTGTGGGAGAGTGGGCTACATATGGGTGAATGCCAACATGTTGTTCCTAATAAATCTTTTGGGATTTTTTGGAAGCTTGGCTCAAGGCTCATGATTTAATTAGGGCAATCGCCGGAATCCTGACACTCAAGATTCCTGCACCGCTGCCAAAAATCCAGCATGAGAAAGCCTTTTTGGGGGCGGGGGGAGTTATTGGCAAGGATCAGCGTCTCACCCCCAAGATGGAGTAACCCAGGAGTCCCCGAATGGAGGGTTGGGAAGAACTACTATTGGTAGGGGAGAACGGCTCACCTGTCTGCTTCGTCGAAGACCACGTACTCCACACTGTGCAACTTCAGTTTCATCTCGACAGCTACGTGCATCAACCGGCCAGGGGTTGCAATGATTCTGCACAAAAAAGCACAAGGCACAGATTCAAGGGCCGATTCTTTCTCTCGCCTAATTGAGGCAAAAGCGGGCTGCATGGATGCTCCCCGCATCATCCAATTCATTTACTTGTTTAATGATTCCACTGACGGGCTCCAAGTGAACTTGCTTTACAGGTGGATCTCTGGAAGAGGGGACCGCCTATCAGGCTCCGGGTTCACTCGGAGCCCGTCAGCTCCAAATATGCCACGCAGCAAGTCAGCTGGCCATATCACCTTATCTCTACTGCTGCTGGATCTGTATTTCTGCTTGTGTGCCGGCCGATGGCTTTGGAATGACTCAGCAGAGCTGAGGATGGATTCTGCAACAACTGCGGGGCTGCTGGAAATGGCTCTTTTCATCTATTGATGTGGTGCATATTGTTAAAGGGGGTTGGGGCACATATAGGTGGTAGTTAAGTCTTAGGATTTATCCATGGTTGGCCTACCAAGGGTCGATAAGCTCAATAAATCGAATCCCGGTGGATGTCGCACATTGGTGGTTGCGACCCATATTTTGAGCGGCAGGCAGCCGCAAGCAGAGGGATGGAAAGAGCCGCATGCGGCTCCAGAGCTGCAGGTTGCTGACCCCTGGCTATAGGGTCTCCTGCCTGAGCTGGGAGTTGGACTAGAAGACCTCCAAGCCCCCTTCCAGCCCTAGGATTATACTGTGCTAAGTGTGGGCGCCCCCTACTGGAAAGCATCGCCTCCATTTGCAGAGACAGCAAGCTTTTAGCCACCATCGCCTACATTAAGGCCTGCATCGGATGTCCGACTGAAAATCCAGACTTACATGTCAGGGTTCTCGTGCAAAGCAGCAAATTGATCTTCCATCCTAGAACGAAGGAAGGAAGAAGGAAAACAAAGTTAAACTTCCTTGTCATTTCTGGCAATGCTAAACTCAGTGCTGTATCTTATCTATCCAATCTTGCCAATGGTCAAAGATAATTTATACATACAGTCCGACTTCTGGCTACAGAGAAGCAGATCAATTAAAAATTATTATATATTTTAAGCCCTGAAATTAAGAACAATTAAGGACAAATTGGTAAAGCACCATGAAGCGGTATGTAAGTCTAAGTGCTTATTGAGCGTCAACGCACATTTGTGCACCTGAGCGTGCACGTCAATACACAACTGACCTGTCGCCTCCGAGAATCAGAGCGGTTTTTAAGCCAGTAAACCGACCCAGCTGCAGGAAAAAGAGGAAGGAGAATTGAACGCCAAGTTAATTCCAAAAAAGGAGAATCTTTGTAGCTCAGGGTTGAAATGAGGGGTTTCTAGGGCTCTCTTGAGTTTGGTTGCTTTCTTGTAGACGTTTCATTACCCAGCTAGGTAACATCATCAGTACTACAAGGGAATGGGGTTTGCGGAGAGGAGGAGAAGGAAAGGGGAGGAGGATTGTTGAGTCCTTGGTGGTTATTTCCTTACCCAACTAGGTAACATCACCGAGGCTAGAAGGGAGTGGTGTTTATAAGGAGGAGGAGGAGGAGGAGGAGGAGGAGGAGGAGGAGGAGGAGGAAGAGGAGGAGGAGGAAGGGGAGGAGGAACAGGACTGTAGTCCTTATGCTGAGATTTATAGTTTTCATGCAGACATTTTCTTACCCAACTAAGTAGCGTCATCAGTGCTAATCAGGCTGAAATCCAGCCCGCAAGGGGCCGTGGTTGAGTTCCCCAGTGGCCACTTCTCCCTCTGATTTTTGAAAGTACCTCTTTGGTGAATTTAAGAGTCTGCAGAGCAAGTTCTCGGGTTGGAGACAGGACGAGAGCTCGTGCCCCTGTCTTGGCACAGCGGGCTTTCAATTTCTCCAGCATGGGAATCAGAAAACAGGCCGTTTTCCCGCTTCCGGTCCTCGCCATGGCCACCACATCCTTGCCGTCCAAGATCAAAGGAATAGTCTGCAGAAGAAGCCGACTTCCAAGTGAGGAAGAGGAGGGAAATCCAACAGCCACTGCCCAGTTTTAAATCACAGCTTTACAAATAACCCAGGTAGTTAAAGGAGAAATAACAGAATGGGGGAGTTAGAAGGAACCTTGGAGGCCTTCTAGTCCAACCCCCAACCCCCACCCCTTGGTCAAGCAAGAGAGTCTCTGCCATTCTGACCAGGCTGCCCAGTCTCTTCTTAAAAGCCTCCAAGTGATGGAGCTGTGATGACCTGGAGTGTGGTAATATATCTTATTCATCATATTCTGTAAGTCCTTTGTACAGTTTTTGCATAAGATCTGGGGATTTACAAACACTCCTCATGGGGGCAGTATTGCCTTTATGATGGGTGTTTGGTCCTGTTTTGATCTGCAAAGCTTAGACGGACCAGGTATATCGGTGAAAGGTCATAGTACATAGCCGAGCCATTCCCGTGGGACTTTCCGTGTTTAGATATTCTCATGGGACTTTCCGCAGTATATTATCACCCTGCTGAGGCCCTGCTGAGATAATGTTGAGGTCATTGTTTTGATTTTGTACTTGCATTTTCTTAAATAAATACTGCTACCCGAGTTCTCTCGGGGCTGGCATTTGCTCAGACGGTTCCCTGCGTCTCATTTCAAGTGCCAGACCACCACACTGGAGCCTGACACAAAAATAACCAAGTCACAAAAAGTCCCTTTAATGCCTCTAACGTGGCCCCAGTGTCCAATTATCCTCGGTTGGATATCAAACTAGTAAAGAAAACAGTTTACGGAGGGAGTAAATGCAGTCCTCACCAAAAGTAAACTTAATTCAAAATAAAAAAAAACCCAACACAAACCACACCGAAGGAATAACTATACGGCAGGCAAGGATGATTCATTGCAGACTTCTACCCGATAATGCAGCGACCACAGTTGCGAGGAACCCAAAACACAGATAAGCTCCGACTAGAAGGCACACTTTGCTTCCAGCAACATACAGGAAACTAGGCACTTCAAGGCCATCCCAAGAGGAGAAGACATTCTTTCTACGTTTCTCTCTTGCTAACACTGTTCCAGTCCTTTTTCTCACTAATGATAGATTATTTAGGGTCCGTTTCATTGATCTGACCAAACAGAATTCGAGGAGGAAGACAAAAACATGATTCTAAAGAAGTCTGGGTGAGGTGCTTCCCGCGTTCTCACCTTCCTCTGGATGGGCGTGGGTATTTTGTATCCTTTTTTCATAATTCCTTTGAACACCGGATAGCTGAGACCTGGGGAAGCGAGAAAACCAAGGTAAGAGATATTTTTTCAGTGCCATTGTAACTTTGAATGGTCACTAAACAAAGCGTTGTAACTTAAGGACAACCTGTATGGCCTTGTCTTCAATTTTTATGTCTCCTACACTCTCTGTAGTTGTATGGGGAGCAACATGGGGACAGTCAGTGAGAAGAGGCAGGTTGGGTCTGGCAGCTGCATTTGTGACCTCCGTCCAAGAGACTATAGGACGAGATGACCGGGAGGGCAGAACGATGCCAAAAGGATCTATCTATCTACCTACCTACCTACCTACCTACCTACCTAATCAATCAATCAATCAATCAATCAATCTATCTATCTATCTATCTATCTATCTATCCATCTAATTTGCTGACTCTTTACTTAAAGTAAATTTGTCTATCAGTGACCGCATGACCTCTGTAGTTGTCACAAGCTAAGTAATAAATAAAAGGTTATCACTCCCTTTAAACCATCCACTTCAGAACTCCTTAACTTACCCATGGACTGGAAACCTCCCGATTTCTTCTTTTTCTTGTTCTGGGCACGAACCATTTCCTGGGTATCGAACTCAACATCGGAAGCACCATCAGACTTGGAGAAAGCGGTTTCTGGCATCTCGTAGTCCTTTAAACAGAAATAAGGAAAAATTGGAAATTTTCAGATCTAGGCTGCTGGGACGGTCTCCGGTTGGCACTCACAGTTCTAGAAGGTCTCCAAAATCCTTTCCAGTTCTATTCTGATTGATTGATTGATATCCACTTTTCCCTTCTGGAGCTAAGATGCAACCCTTTCACTATCCATTTGTAGGGTCCCACCTACAAGTCTCAGGAGGTGCATCCCCCCCAGATGTTCTTCAACTACAACTCCCAGCATGCTTCCTTCGCACACATGCTCAGAGTGGGCAACCTCTGGGAAAGCCACAGATGTGATCCCGGGCGGCCCTCCCACCCCCTTATGTTTCCCCCAGCCCAACTCTTTCCAGAGTCCATGGACTCCAGGACCCATGCTATGGCTGGGGATGATGGGAACTTGGACTGCAGTCCCCATGCTAGGGCTGGGGATGATGGGAACGCTAGTCCAGCCCATCTTCCCCTACCTGATCCTCGTCGGGCTCCCGGGTTTTACACCAGCGCTGCTTTTTCCTCCTCCGACCCGACCCAAAAGCCGGAGCCATCGCAGCTGATTCCTGGCAGGCGAAGCCACGTGCGTTAAACAGGAAGTACCGCGGGGCGGGGTTTGGAGGAGAGCCGGTCTCTGATTGGTGCATCGGTGGGAGGGTCCCGTTGCGAAGTCCCGCCTGCGCGCTTGCGTTAAGCTCGGGGATGGCTAGCCTCGCGGTCAATCCGAAGGCGGAAGGGAAAAGGAGCTTCCGTAGAGAAACGAAAGGGAAAACCTGCAGAATCGTTTCTTCTTCCCTTTTGGGATGGCACTTTCGGGTTCGCTCAGCACCTCCCGGGTGCCTTTGAATCGCCTTTCTTCGGCGGGGCTTTTTCGTTCTTGCTTACAAATTTCAGGGTTCAGTTTTGGAATAAGTATATACAGTATGTATTTGTACATATATGTGTATAAGAGGCTGGGTTGGTGGAAGAGTGGAAGGAAAGAAACAAAAAGAGAGGGAGAGAGAGGAAGGAAGGAAGGAAGGAAGGAAGAAGAAAGAAAGAAAGAAAGAAAGAAAGAAAGAAAGAAAGAAAGAAAGAAAGAAAGAAAGAAAGAAAGGAGAATTAAGGCATATACATACATCATCGTTTTAGCCACTCTGTCCACTTCAGGATGAAGGCCCCTTCCTCCTATATATTGATGTATGGATGCATATATAAATTTCTGCATATTCGTCTGCATGCATACAATATTTCTGAAACAAACTGATTCTTAAACAGTACGTACATTTGCACACTATACAGCACATATGGTAATATGCATGTAATTAAGGGAATACGGGCTGGTAAAAGGGAAGTTTGTGTGTGTGCATATATTTCTCTGAGCGTGTATGAATAGATACATAATATAGAGATAGAGAATGATAGAAATAGAATAGATATATAGACAAATAATGATGATGGATGGATGGATAGATAGACAGACATAAATGGATGGATAGATAGATAGATAGATAGATAGATAGATAGATAGATAGATAGATATAGATAGATATAGGTAGATATAGGTAGATATAGGTAGATAGATATAGACAGATGATGGGTGGATGGATGGATGGATGGATGGATGGATGGATGGATAGATAGATGGATGATAGATATAGGTAGATAGATATAGGTAGATATTGATAGATGATGGGTGGATGGATGGATGGATGGATAGATAGATAGATAGATAGATAGATGATTGATGGGTGGATGGATGGATGGATGGATAGATGATGGATGGATGGCAGGCAGGTAGGTAAATAGATAAGACAGACATGAATAGATGTTAGGCAGACAGATGATAGTTAGATATAGATGGATTGTTATGTAGATGATAGATACATACATATGGATAGATGATGGATGGATGATAGGTAGGTAGGTATGTAGATAGACAGACAGACATGAATAGATGATAGGTAGATGATATAGATATAGATAAATCATGCAGAAGATAGAAAGATAGATGTATATAAATACATACATATAAACAAATACAGATGTAGTGCATACACATATACAGATCTATTTCTGCACATACATAAATCTACATCGGTGTGTATACATGATCTCCCTCCCTCCCTTCCAAAGGGATCACCAGGCTGGATCCCATCGTCGGTGGGAGCGGGTGGGTGGGGACAGACTAGCTCCTCCTCGGAAGCCCCGTCCAGCTGCCTGCGCCACACTCGCCGCGCTGCAGAGCCGGGGAGGCGCCGGACGCGTCCTTCTGCCCGCTCGCCCGCAGGTCAGTCTCGGGGTGTGGGGGGGTGTGGGTGCTCCGTTTGGCGGGCCGCTTGGCAGGGCTGCAGCCGGGCGGGGAGAAGGGGGAAGCGCCTGGCCGCAAGAGCCCCCGTTCCTTGCGCGGCTGCGTCTCCCGGGGGAACCGGAGGCGCGCCGCTTCCCTTGCCGGGGTTGCAAAGCAATCCGTTCGCAGGCGGGGTCCTTTCCGTGCCAAAGTGAGCTGAACAGAACTGGAAGGGACCTCGTAGGTCATCTAGTCCAACCCCCACCTACCCACCCACCCAAGGACCCTACACCATTTCTGACAGGTGGTTGCCGCGGACTCGCCCCCGCGTGGGTGGAAAACTCTGCCCCCGCCAGGCCAGTCGCTTTTTGCAAAGCGGTGGTGCGTGGCCAGGGCGGGGGGCTTCGACCCAGCCAGTTTCCCAGCAGAATCCCCACCTGGCTGGATCGCAGCCCCGTCCCGTCCCTTCTAGCTTCAGATACAGAGTGGGAAGGGACCTTGGAGGTCTTCTAGTCCAACCCCTTGCTTAGGCAGGAAATCCTACACCACTTCAGAAAAATGGTTCTCCAATCTCTTCTTAAAAACTTCCAGTGTTGGAGCACCAACAACTTCTGGAGGCAAGTTGTCCCACGGATTAATTGTTCTGTCAGAAAATTCCCCCTTATTTCCAGGTCAGTTTCCATCCGTTATTCCTTGTCTGGCCTTCGGGTGCCTTGGAAAATAGCTTGACCCCTTCCTCCTCTCTGGGGCAGCCCCTCAAATATTGGAAGATGCTCTCCTGTCTCCCCTGGTCCTTCTCTTCCCTAGACTAGCCAGGCCCAGTTCCTGTAACCGTTCTTCATATGTTTTAGCCTCCAGTCCCCTATTGGTGGGTGAGTCCCCTAACCATGGGTAGGTTTTCCAAAAAATTGAGCAACCTATAAATAGCCCGAAGGGGTTACCTGGAGTCCTTTTTGGAGTTCTTTGGAGATTGGCAATTCGGATACAGCAAGTTGGGTTTAAAACCCGGTCTAGGCTATTAACATGAAATCAGTCCTATTTCCATCCCACAATTCTCAGTTCATGGATGAGAGTTTCTTCCTGCCCCAGCCAGTTCCATGAAGGCCTCGGCAGGCTTGGGAGCTCCTCCTCTGCAACGCAAAGGGCGGGTCTGGAGGATCAAGGCCACGGCCTCCTTTGTGGACGAATCGCTCTTCGGTAACCAAGGAAAGCACCAACCTTCCAGCCCGGAGTTTGAACCCCCTTGGAAAGAGGCCAAAGCTCCTGGTCAAAGACCCCTGCTGTGGAGTCCAGACACCAGGCAGGTGGATTCCAGTCCTTTGAAATCCCCCCAATCGGTTGGCACTCCACGGAAGAGGAATAAATACAGGTAGGCCACATTTGGGGTGCTGGGTTGGGGTTTGTTTTGCAATAAGGGAAAGATGACAGAGTGCTTCAAAGAGAGAATATCTTAGGTGAACAACGTGCGGTTATTTGTGCGTTTCAAAACAGCCTGTCGAGCTGCGTCACAGCTAGAGTGGCCCAAATTCACTCAGCAGGCTTTCATGCCTAAGGTGGGACTAGAACTCACCATCTCCTAGTGATTGGTCCAAAGTTACCCAGCCCAGCTGGCTTTCATGTTTAATACAGCACTAGAACTCACCATCTCCTAGTGATTGGTCTAAAGTTATCCAGCTAGCTTACATGCCTAAGGCAGGACTAGAACTCACTATCACCTAGTGATTGGTCCAGTTATCCAGCTGGCTTTCATGCTTAATAAGGGAGTAGAACTCACCATCTCCTAGTGATTGCTCCAAACTAACCCAACTGGTTTTCATGCTTAATATGGGACTAGAGCTGACTATCTCCTAATGATTGGTCCAAAGTTACTCAGCTGGTTTTCATGCCTAACACAGGACTAGAACTCACCATCTCCTAGTAATTAGCCCAAAGTTACCCAACTGGCTTGCATGCCCAAGGTGGAACTAGAACTCCCCATCTCCTAGTGATTGGACTAAAGTCACTGAGCTGACTTTCACGCATGAGACAGAACTAAAACTCAAGAGAAGTTAAGCTTTTTTTTTCCCCCGCTGACATCTGTCAGTCTTTTTCTTTCCGGAAGGTTAAAAAGCCACACGCCATCCTATTGTGACGAGACGCTGTTCGGGTCCAAGCCGGGAGGACACGAATGGAGAACCTCCTGGGCCACCCAAGAAGATGTGGCTAAACTCCGTCCTTTGCTTTGGACTCCACCTTCGGCTCCAAGAGACCGGCCAGTCCTGTTTCACCGTCTGGAAAAGGAAGGGGTCACCTCGACGGTGAAGGGCAGATTTGAAGCCAACCATAAAGCAGGAACATCTTTCGGGAAGCCACCTGAGGGCTCTTCAGATGGGGCCACCCAAGTCTTGAGAAGGCCACGTTCCCAGTCTCCCACCAGGCTGTACGAAACTTCGGATCGATTTCGCCCAGGAAAGTCCAATAAACAGCAGGACCAACGTACACCCACTGCTTCTTCGAGGGCACTTCTCACGCCCCGTTCGAAAGGGTTGCCTGGTTCATCTGCTCGGACCACAGGTTCACGTCCAGAGAGACCTCCTTGGAGGTAGAAGAGCCCAACCAACCCTGTAAGTGGAACTGCTTCCTAAATCAGGGTTGCCAGCTGGGGGATTCTGGATACACACACACATACACATGCATACGTGTCATGCCCCTGTCGGAGACTGAATCCAAGGAGGAAGACGAACAGCTGACAGAGTGGGAGTGTGGCTCCATTGGCTGTGGAGGAAGCTGGGGAAGGGCAAAGTCCGGCTGGGCAGAGCAGGGGAGAGATAAAACAAGGGAGAGGGAATTCAGAGGAAGACCCAGGCCCACCCTGTCTTCCTCCTAGGGCATGCAGGGAGGAACGGAGAAGGGAGCAACATGGGTTGCGTGGCTTACCGGGAAGGAAAGGGCCCCGATTCCCTTCATTAGCCACAGCTGGGAAGAGAGTTTAAAAGAGATGCATGCTGAGCGCAGCAACTGCTGGGAACAAACGTGAGTTTATCTTGTGTTGACTTTAGTTATCTGCGTTCCTGGCATCTTCCCAGCTGTGTGGAATTATTACTATTCCATCATATCTGGAATTCCTTCTCCCACCCTGCCGGACTAATTACCTCATTTTGCCTTGATTGGACTTATAGTTACAGTTTTTGTTGAACACGTTTCGCGCTTGATTCTCTTCAGCCAAAGGCTGTTCCTGGGAGAGTTTTCGGGTTGGGGAAAATGATTTTGACAGGTCTCCGTCTTTTTAAATGATCTACTTTATTCAAGAATGTCCCAGAACGTCAGAAGGGCTCCATCCCTCTCCGAAGCTGCCCAGGGCACCCCAGCCACCAAAATTAGGTACGGCCAGGCATTAACCAACAACGTTCAATCCTCATCTCCTGCCCGTACCTTTCTTCCCCTTCCCCTTCTTCTTCCTTTTGCTCCGTAACATCGACCTCACTAAGTAGCCCTTCCAGACGGCCTGGATCAGAGTAGCAGCTCGTGCCAGGATGGCCAGCTCCTTCTCGGCTTTGTCCTTCATCTCCTGCCTCACCCTCCTCTCCTCCACGATCTGGCAGTATTCCTCGTCCAGTCGGGTGTATTTCTCCCGCAGTTGGGCCAGATCCTGCTTCTCAATCACGTAGACCTCATCGATCTCGTCGATCTCCTCCTGGGGAGAGAAGGAGTCACGCCCGGTTTTTATGAGCCCTGTTTTGTTTTGTTTTATTCGTTGACGCGGTTTGTTAAGCGAATCGCAGTGGCTTTAAGTGAACTCCCCCTTAACCAAATCCCGCCCGCCCCCCATAGATTTTCCTTGCCTAGCAGAATAGGGGAGGGGAAGGGGATGACGTCGCTTCCTTGTGAGGTTCTTGACCAGTGGTGGTAATCTACCGGTTCAGTCCGGTTCAGTCGACCGGGCAGTAAAAAAACGCTACCGGTTTGGCCAAACTGGTGTTTCTGTCGATCAGCTGTGCCGCGTGATTTACGTTAGCTAGAAATCATCCAATTTCTTTTTGCCAGGAAGCTTCCCTGAGGCCCAGTAGGCAAAACATGGGGTGCCAGGGGTGGGGGCTGCAAAAGGAAAAAAAAAAACCCACCACCTAGCCACGCCTACCGAGACACATGTCTACCTGGCCACGCCCACCCAGCCACGCCCACAGAACCAGTAGTAAAAAAAATTAGAATCCCACCACTGTTCATGACCTTACTTGAAGATGGGTGGACTTCCATTCCCAGAATTCCCCAGGCAGCATAGTCCACCCATCTCCAATGCAATGAGGATGAGTCAGCAAAGTTATTGCTGCTTTTAGACTAAGGAGGGGTCTACAGGGTTATTGCCACTTTAAGAAGCTGTTTATGTAAAGGCGGCCATGAGAGGGTGTATCTCTCTCTCCCTCCTTGTGTTCTGTCTCCAGTTTGATTCTCTGTGCAGAGTAAACAAGACTCATTACTTGCCAGGTATTTGCCTACCACATATATGTATGTATGTATGTATGTATGTATATGGCTGTCTGTATATAAACCACTGTTAAAAGACAAAGTCTCTGTGTGCTGTGTTGTGCTCTTGGGTTGTCTCACAATAGTATTCTCACTGCAAACACTCTGACATGGACTATGCTGGCTGGGGAATTCTGGGAATTGAAGTCCACCCATCTTCAGGTTGACAAAACTCGGGAAACAAATTGTACTGCATATTCTGTCCAGCCAGCTGAGTCTTTGCAATTAATGCGCGAGGACGGTACAATCTAACTTAAGGTCATAATCTCAATGGCAGGAATGCCATAAGGAAGATTCATCCTGCAATTAAACTTAGTATTGATTGATTGATTGATTGATTAGCCCAAGGGTCTTCAAACTTGGCAAGTTTAAGACTTGTGGACTTCAACTCCTAGAATTCCTGAGCTAACAAGACTGGAGGAGGAATTCTGGGAGCTGAAGTCTACAAGTCTTAAAGCTGTCAAGTTTGAAGATCCCTGGATTTGCCCTAGGGCCAGATCAAAGTGCAGAGTTCCAGAAATAAATTATTACTAAAATTTGATAAAAGCAATTTAAAATGGAATTAGATAAAACATATAATTTAAAGTGAAATTGGAATAAAATACGATTTAAAATGAAATTGGAATAAAATATAGTCTAAAATGAAATGGAAATAAAACACAATAATAATTAAAGCTTAGTTCGAAGACCTGGCTCCTTATTTTTTGCAAATGATCTCTCGAGAGGTAAACATCTATTGTATTTTCCTTTTAATCCCTTGCATCGGGGTGAAGTTGGGGCCATGAAATGGCACTCAAGCATTTACTGGCCGGATACCCTTCCTGATGCCTGTGTAGAGATGGCGGCAGACACTTACTCATCACACCCAGATAGAGAAACATCTGCCACTGTCTAGGATTGAACCCACAACCTCCTGAGTGTGAGGCAAGAGCGCTACATCTAACCCACTGTGCCACCGTTCTTGAGAGGCAAATATGAGGGGAAAGAAAAGGAGCTCATATCTTACCTGCTTTTCAATCATTTCGATATCGTACTTTTGGACCCAATTTTCTATCTCCATTTCCACCTTGTATTTTTTCTAAAAGGAAATAAAATCAGATTAAAAACAGCTTGGCAGCAAAGGTTTATGATTCCTGCTTTAAAGGTTGGGGACCGCTGCTGTTGGGTATTCCCCAGCCAGGTTGTGCGAATGTGTTTCATAGATTAGATTAATGGAGTTGGAAGGGACCTTGTAGGTCATCTAGTCCAACCCCCCAGCCAAGCAGGAGACCCTTCACCGTTTCTGACAAATGGCAGTCCAGTCTCTTCTTGAAAGCCTCCAGGGATGAAGCTCCCACAACTTCTGAAGGCAACTTCTGTTCCTTTGGGTTGATTGTTCTTACTGTCGGAAAATCTCTCTTTTAGCCTCCAGTCCCCTAATCATCTTGGTTGTTCTTCACTGCACTGTTTCTAGAGTCTCGACATCCTTTTTAATAGTGTGGTGGCCAAAACTGGATGCAATATTTACAGTATGGTCTTACTAAGGTTTTGTAGAGTGGTATTAGTCCCTTACTCGATCTTGATTGCATCCCTCTAATGCAATTTAGGATTGCATTGGGGTTTTTGGCTGCCGCAGCAAATTGTTGGCTCCTATTTAGCTGGTTGTCCACTAAGACTCCAAGATCCCTCTCCCAGTTCCTACTATTGAGCCTGGTTTCTCTGCTCAACCTCTGCCGGGATTTACCTTCCGAAGGCTGAGTTCCGTCTCTCGGTCCTCAGCCACCAGGGCATTGAACTGAGCACGCAGCTGCTGCAGCTCCTGTTGCAACTTGGCGCATTTCCCCTGGGAAGTGCGCACCTCCGTCTTGTGCTGCTTCTCTGCTTCGGCCCGGGTGCGCTGGATTTGGCTTTCGGAGAACTTGGCCAGGTTGTGCAAGTGCATTTTCAGGTCTTTGATGACGGCGTTCTTCTTGGAAATCTGACGGAGAGAGAGAGAGAGAGAGAGAGAAAACAACAACTTTGCCATTATCCAACTCTCCAGGGCAGAAACTTCTGAAAAATCCATCTTGGATCCAAATTACACGCTGTTAAGGATCAGTGGAGTAAAAGCTGTTCACCGCAGTCGATGACACCGCGGTGTCTAGCTCAGGGGGTCAGCAACATTAAGCACTCAAAGAGCCATTTGGACCCATTTCCCACTGAAAAGAAAACACTGGGAGCCTCAAAACCTGGGTGGGCGTGGCCAACTCAACATCACTCCCACCAAGTCACATGACCCACCCACACCCGCCATGCCTATCCAGGTTTTATGGCTCCCGGTGTTTTCTGTGGCAAATGGGTCTGTCTCCCACCCTCCCTCTCATTTTACCTTCTTGGACCAGTCGAGGAGTGAATGGGAGGGGAGGGCGAGTGGAGGGGCCAGCCAATGGGGAGCCACAGCAGAGGGCCTAAAGAGCCGTATGTGGCTCCAGAGCCACAGGTTGCCGACACCTGGTCTAGCTGGACGCCTTCCCCATTACACCACACTGGTTCTTCCAGCCAAATCTATCCCCTCTTTTTCTTTGCCTACCATCTGGCTTTCCAAGGCAGCCAGCCCATTTTGGCAATTAATTAGGTCCAGTTTTGGACTGGCTAAGCAGCCCAGACAAGTCGAATCCTGCTGCTTAGCTCCACCACCGTACCTCCTCATCCCTGTTCTGGATGGCTGCAGTCAGTTCATCTTCCAGGTTTGCAGCGGTCTCCGTATTTTTCTTGTCTCTCTGGAAGACTTCATTCAAAAACCGACTTTTCTCCTTTTCTTCCAAGGGGGTGGTGAGGAGCTGCTCAAAGAGGAAACCCCTCTGCTTGGACAGACAAGTAATAAATTTATGGACGGACGGGTCCCTGGTGTAAGCGGCATCTCTCAGAGCTTGGCAAGCGACCGTGTTGGTGTAAAGCAGGCGTAGAATATTTCGGACCGAGCTTTTAAGGCCTTGAACCTGCAATGTGAGACAACCGTCAGAATCCACCAGGCCAAAGAACGTTCCTTTACCGGAGCCTATATAGAGAATATTTTCTTCCTCCGGGTGTGAGAGCATAAATTCCAGGATGTTTGAGAGCCGTAGATGTTCTCGGAAGGCTCCGGTAAGGTCAGGGCCTAAGACAGCCGTAAACTCGTCAAGGTTCTCCATGATGTAGGAGAAGACACTGACTAGTTTTATCTTGAAGATGGTTTCATCCAAGACAGATATGATCCTTTTGGTCTCAACAGTGCTCAGTTTCGACCGACCGGGATCCAAGATCCTTAAGGGGGTTCGGATAGACTTCTTCGGGCGGCTGGAATCAACCAGCTCGTAAGATGTGGAGACCAATTCTGACGTCATGTTTTCTGCTGGATTCTCCTTTGGAACGGGGGATAGTTTTTGAATTTCCCAACAAGTTCAGGTGTTTTAGCACCTCTGATGGAGAGGATTCTGAGAGTAAGACAGTGCAATGGGCGGGAAGATTAACCTTGAGGGACAGAAGAAAGAGAGGAAACCAACAGTCAGATAAGAGGAATCTGAGTCCAGGGCAGAAATGTAATCTGGGAAAGAGTCTCGGACAGGAGAGACTCATTTCCTCCTGAAGATAAAGATGGAATAATGAATATGTAACCCTACATTATATACACACACAAGTGAAATACCACTCATGCATCATCACAAAATCTCCAGAACCGTAAAGCCTACAAATTTGCAATTTGGCACGTATGTTCCTCTTGGCTTCTAGATGCTCACTAAGAAAGGATTTTTCAAAATGACCATCAGAGCATTAGTATTTCCTGTATTGTTATTATGGGTGCAATCCCAAAAACATCTGGAGCACTCCTTGAACATCGTTGGCATTGACAAAAAAGCCCCATCGGTCAATTGCAAAAGGCAGCTTTAATTTAGAACAGCTGACATCCCGCAAAGATATCTTTAATATTATTACATAATAACACCTGCCTATCTCAGGTATTTGGGAAGGACTCCATAGGTGAAGCAAAACACGGAATCCAGTTTGAACATCTGGCTGTTCAGAGGAATAATAAAATATGATGATGATGATGATAATACAGGTAGTTCTTATGAACACAATTAAGCCCCAAATTTGTGTTGCTAAGTGAAGCATTCATTCAGTGAGTTTGCCCCATTTTATGACTTTTCTTGCCGCTGTTCTTAAGTGAATCATTGGAGTTATTAAATTAGTAACACAGTCGTTAAGTGAATCTGATTTTCCCATTGACTTTGCTGGTCACTAAATGGGATCACATGACCCCCCCCCCCCGATACTGCGACCGTCATAAATACAAGTCAGTAGCCAAACATCTTAATTTTGATCACGTCAGGATGCTTTAATGGTTGTGTGAAAAATGGCCATAAAGTCACTATTTTCCAACACCATTGCAACTTTGAACGGTCACTAAGTGAGCTCTTGTAAGTCGAGGATCTACCGGTAGATAAAAATGTCAAATCTGGCTTAAACACCTGGCTGAGCAATCATAATAAAACTAGTAATATAATAGAAATGCAATATAATATAGTATAACCATTAAATATAATAAGATAATATAAAATAATGTAATAAAATGATCTCTTAATGTTACAAAATGATAGATTATTAATTCATATAAAAATATAAATACAAATATTTTCCCCCCTTCCTTTGAAATGCAACCCGCGCAGGAAAAGCATCATTTTTATCAATTTTTGCAGCTCACCCGACCTAAAAACGGAAAAGCTCCTCGGTTACCATGACAACGGCTTCACTTCCGTAAATTTAAAACCGAGTCCTCTCGTTGCTGGGTAACACTGGACCGCGCGAGAGGTGGAGCTTTCCCCTCTAGCCAATCGAAGCCCTCGTTGCTCCCACTGTGGTCTTTCCGGACAGCCAAGAGGTGGCCAATTAGAGGCGACAAAGCGTCGGCGCCTTGCTCCTCCCACCTCTCACGTGCACCTTAAAGGGGAAGGGTACGGTAGTTAAGAGAAGGTGTCATACACTTCAGGTTGCCAGTTGACCTTAATGGGTGGCCAAACGGAAAGCGAGCGATCCTTATCGCCTGAAATTCGACGAACTTTTAAACAGGCCGTCGGCCAGATACTCCAATGAACTCTTATACTTTATATACAGGGCTCATTCTGGCCGTTCACATGGCGGGACCTTGATGGAGAACCGGACTTTGCGGGCAACCCTATATTTCCCTATCTCTTCGCTGTATTAGAGGCGTAGCGCATTCCAGGACAAAACGTTGGGAAAGGGCAAGCTAACAGCGCATGCGCACTCCTTAAAGCCTCTAGGGAAAGCGCTAGGCAGGGATTCCACCACCACTTCCGGATTCCGATGGGATGCTGTTTATACTGCATGTGGATTGAAGACTGTTTAATAGCTCCTAATATCCTTCTCGCCGCCCTGCTGGTTAGGGATGATGCGGGTTGTGGTCCCACATCCTTCCAGGTCTGCAGGTTGGGTGAGGAGCGGTGCAATCCTAGGGATGAGAACTTAATCTGCATTATGATTGCCAGGGAATGCCTATAGCTAGCATTGCAACTTGCAAGAAAAAAAAGCATCTTTTCTTAATTAAAAAAATAACAATATCACACACACACACACACACCCGCCCAGGGTTGCACGCCTCGCTTCCTCCCGACCAAGCCGCACATAAAACAGACTCTGCAAAAGTCACAGCCGGCTTTGCGTTTAGGGGGTTAAACTGGAGGGGGATTCAGCCCAACGTCGTCCCAGCCGGCTCCTTCGCCCACTTTTGTGTTTTGTTTTGCTAGCAAGGCACATTTGCAAAGTCGGGGGTGGGTGGGTGGGTGGGGGGCATATATCTGAAGCTGGAGCATAATATTGCAAAAGGGGGAAAAAAACACTTGTTCATTTAATGACCTCTGCAAAGCCGGTTTTTGAGCCAACCACGATGGTTGCAAACCATGGTTAGAAGAAGGCTGGGTTGAAAAGGCGTGGGGGGGAGAGGAAGAGAGGGAGGGAAGTCAGAGGTTCTCACGCTTTATTTACGCGCTGCCTTCTTCCCCGCCTCCTTTGGAGTCGTGCTGGGCTGCTTCCTCCTCCTCCTCCTCCTCCTCTTCCTTGCTGGACTCTTCCCCCTTCCTAAGTCGTCGGAAAGAAGCGCTGCGGAGGCCAGAAAACGGGAAAAAGCCCTAGGCGTTTGCGTCGCCTTGCTTTGCCTTGCTTTGCATTTCTTTTTTTATTTTTTGTTTGCAAACGACCCGGGGCTTTGGCAGACACGCGTTGGCCGAGAACATGGGAACGCCGGCAGACCCCCGAGACGGGCTCCCGCTTTGATCAAAACCGATTGCAAAGAGGGAGGGGACCCCCGTGCAGCAGACCCGGTTGGGGAAGCCGGTGGGCTGCTTCTCCCATGGCTGGGTGTCTCGAAGAGGACGACGTCCCCCTGATCCTGACCTTAGAGGACGGCAGGAGCCGGAGGGTTGATCCGGAGGGAGTCCCCAACGAAAGTGAGTCAACTTTGCTGCTTCCCCGCCCCCCCCCCCCCCGGGGGGCTTGTTGGGTGGGGAAGGGGTTCTGCATTTTACAGCCCAGAAGAGAGAGGGGGGGGGAGAGAGAGACAGGCACACAGAGAGAGAGAGGGAAAGAGAGAGACAGAAAGGGAGAGAGAGGGGGAGAGAGAGGGAGAGGCAGACAGAGAAAGAGGGAGAGAGACAGAGAGGGAGACAGAGAGGGAGAGAGAGAGGGAGACAGAGACAGAGAGGGAGAGGGAGAGACAGAAAGAGGGAGGGAGAGAGAGAGACAGACAGACAGAGAAAGAGGGGGAGAGAGAGAGAGACAGAAAGAGAAAGGGAGAAAGAGAGAGAGGGAGAGAGACAGGGAGAGGCAGAGAAAGATGGAGAGAGGGAGACAGAGAAAGAGAGAGAGAAAGGGAGAGAGACAGAAAGAGGGAGGGAGAGAGAGACAGACAGAAAGAGGGAGAGAGACAGAGAAGGGGAGGGAGAGAGGGAGACAGAAAGAGAGAAAGGGAGAGAGAGACGGGGAGAGAGAGAAAGAGGGAGAGAGAAACACGGAGAGAGAGAGAGAAAGAGAGGGAGAGACAGACAGACAGAGACAGATAGAGATGATATATATACTGTAAATCTGGGGCTTTTGGGCTCCAATTCCCAGCAGTCTCAGCTGGGTTGGGTAAGGGGGGTGGGAGCACCAAGTTGGCCCGGGGTTGCATTTTAAGTCGGGGCGGGGTGAGGGTGTCCTCACTTGCAAAATTGGGACCATTTTTGGGCCGCTGCAGGAGTAACCTGCCCGATGGGCAATTTAGTTTGGAGGCCAAATTATGTGACGAACCGTTGGCGGGGAACTCATTATGTCTCGCCTAATGAAGAGGAGGGTTAGGGGTGACATGACAGCAGTCTTCCGTAATTGGAGGGGCTGGCACAAAAAAAAGGGGGGGTGTAGGATCTCCTACTTGAGCTAGACTAGTAGACCTCTAGGGCCCCTTCCAGCTCTACGGGATTTCTGATTCAGACTCATTTATTTAGGGTATCAAGAGGACAGGACAAGAAGTAGGGTAGCAGACAGAAGCTGGTTAAAGACCTAGAACTAAATAGAAAAGTTCCTGAGAGCGAGAACAATAATAAATCAGTGGGGAAGGTTTGTTTCTGGAAGTTGTGGCTGCTCCATCACTGGAGGTTTTCAGAAACTGGACAATTCTATGACTGGGGTGGTATAAGGTGTCCTGCCACGGGCAGAGGCTGGACTAGAAGACCTCCGAGGTCCCTTCTTCCAGTGCTACGATTCTAGGTTCTAAGCGTGGAAGGAAAGTAAGGTTACATTCCCGAGAGCGCTTCTTTATTTCGTGTCGTTTTTAAAACGGCCTTTCCAAACGGCCTACTTGGTTGTTTTTATTCTTCTCCCTTCAATGCCATCTGTTGGCAGAAAGCAAGCTGGAAATCTCTGGGTGAAAAGAAGGGAATGAATAAGTGGGGGCGAGGGGGACAAAACAAAACATGATTTTGTCACTCCTGCCGGCCGAGGGACGGTGTACTCCGGAGTTGCAAATCTAGGAACGAAGAGTAGATTTTAATTTTATTTTTCTAAAGCCTGATTGACTCCTTTGATCACTTTGGAAAGAGATCCTGGTGAAGAGGAGAGAGGAGGAGGATGGAGTGATTCAGAACACGGAGGCAGGGGGGGGGAAAAGAATATATATATGTATATATATAAATGTGGCCCACAGGAAATAAGAAAATGCCACGGTGCGTCTGTTCCTGCAAAGCGTCCCCACGCACTCTGGAAAAGCTCGTCTGTGTTTGTCTCTTTGCTAGTGAATTCCTGAAAGCTAGTTTGGTCTAGCTCAGGGGGTGGCTAAACCTTTTTCGTCTCCCGTGCCGAAAATTGCACGTGCCAGCACTCGGAAGGCAATGTGCGCGCCCCTCACATGCTCCATATCTCCAGTGTATCTGGTCATGCGTGTGCATCTCCCACGCACGCCTCGCACATGTGTGCCAGCTACCCAACAATCAGCTGTCGGACAGGCGGCGTGCCTCATGCGTGGTGGGGCTCGCGTGTGTTAGCAGAAGTGGCTCTGAGTGCCACTTCCGGCATGCATGCTATAGGTTTGCCATCACGGGTCCAGCTGTTATGCTGGCGAACTGAACAGATAGTCCTTGACTTACAAAAGTTCGCTTAGTGACTGAAGTTACAACGGCACCGAACAAAGTGACTTACGACGCTTTGCTTCTGGCAACACTGTGTTGTAATTGTCTCTCTTATATACTAGTCTCCCCAGCTGCAACCAATGAGGGGATCATGGCCGCTTCCTCTCTCGAAGGCCAAGTTGTTCCCTTCTCCATTCTTCCCTGCGTGTCCTAAGATGCAGAGGGGATGGGTCTGGTTCTTCCTCTGACTGCCCAGCCGACCTCTGCCCTTCCCCAGCCTCCTCCACAACCAACAGAGCCATGCCTCCACTCCCTGTCAGCTGTTCCTCCTCTCCCTCAGAGTCTGACTCTACCAAGGGCATGACACTTTCTCACACACACACACCCCCGCCCTCCGCATCCCGGAAGCTCAGCAAGTATTAAAAAGCAAAGAAACTGGAGAGGATCATGAAATGGATGTTAATTCATCCTTGCCAGATCCCATTTCCTGAAAGCTGTGACATTCTAGGTTTTTTTTTCCCTCCGCCTCTCCTGCCTTGTTGTTGTTCCCAACATTTGTTATTCTGGTTTTCTGAGTCAGCTCGGGTTGTCGACTTTCCAGGGTTTTTAGTGCTCGCTTTAAGGATGCTGTGTGTGTGTGTGTGTGTGATTTCCACCTGTTCCCAGAGCAACCAGACAAAGGATGGTGGGCATCTCGGAAGCACACTCATTCCTTTGTGCAAAACAGCCTGCTTGTTTTTGGAAAGCTTTGCAAGTGGAAATAGGTTCGGACGTCTTTGCAAACCGAGGCACGTTCGATTTGCAGTTCTGGTTGCTCCATCCCTGGAGGTTTTTCAAGAAGAGAGTGGTGGCTAACCTTTTTGGGGCTCATGTGCCAAAAAGTGTCCGCGCTTGCATGCCAGCACTCAGAAGGCAATGCATGTGCACGGTCCCCCCACGCCTCCTGCGCATGCGCGCACAATCAGGTGCAGATGTCTGAGGTCTCGGAGAGCGAGGACTCAGATGAGGGGCCTACGTGGGATGCAGGGATGGGGCCAGGACCATCAGGGAGTGGAGTGCTGCCTATGGAGATTGTGGAGGCTGGCAGAAGTGAGGAAGAGGCCCCCGAGGAGCCTGTGCCCAGGGCTGCTCGAAGGAAAGAGCAGCTGCTGCAGCATAGGTGACTCGGGAGTAAGGCTGCAAGATAATAGCCCCTCCCTAAAGAGATAAAAGCCAGCTGAGAAACCGGAGTTCTTTGCAGGAAGCAAAGAAGTTTTTGCACTCAAGCCTTGTGGACATTTGAAATATCTTGGTTGGTGTTTGTATTTGAAATATTTCTTAGTAACTTTATCTAGTGTTCTTGGCAACTTTGCACCACCTTGGCACGGCTCATTCTTATCAGAGATAATTAATTTGAAACAGCCTTTTAACCATGAAGGAACGGAATTGGTAAAGAATCGTTAAAAGGTTTTTTTTCTGTGACTTTTGTTTCGTGTTTGTTTCCTTGGAACAAGGTTTGGGTCAGAACACAACCGTTCTTACAGTATGTTTTAGCCTCCAGTCCCCTGATTTGTTGACCAAAGTTAATTAACATTTTCCTTAAAAAGAGAAAATAAACACAGCCGAATGTTTTTGAGTTTAAAATGTCTTTGGGAACAAAAGAGGAATCAAAGTGGCAAAATGCCAAGACATTTTTAAGAAACAGAAATGAACCTTAACTGTAACTTTTAGCATTTTTTAATTTTATTTTGACTGTGCTACCTGCACTCAACATAAACAGAGCTCCCCTTCACAACATGGTTGGTCTCTGGGAATTCAGCACAGCCGACCTCATGAGGTCTAGGAACTTGACAGGTTTCCGGGGACACAAACTTCTCGCTCAAACGCCTCCAGCAGAATTTTAACCTTAAGAAGGTCTCGCCTTCCTTGGGAAAAGGAGGTCTTAGGAGCAAAGAGGCCAAAAACGGAGTTGCCTAGAGCGTACAATCTTCCCTCCCTGTTTTCCATTAAGATGGCGTCAATTATGACAACATCCGCGATATGTCCAGCCCAGCGACGGGAGAGCGACGGTCTCCGTGGGATCGTGGAAGACGGACTTGGGAAATGAATTACCAGGAAGCTGCAATTTATCTACAGGTGGGCCGTAATTTTTGCGCTACGTCTTGTGGGGGAACAAAGGGAGGTAAAATGGGGTTACGGGTGGGGTCCCAGAACCCCCCCCAGACTGAAGAGCAGGCGCTAAGAATTCTGGGAGTTGAAGGCGAGAAGGTTGGGATGGGCAAGCGAACAGCTTCCTGTCACACACTCAGTTTAGCTGAAACGAGGTTGGGTTGATTGTAGGTTGGTTTGTTGGGTAGACCAGGATCCTCCAATTCTGGCCACTTTTTTAAAGACTTGCGGACTTCAACTCCCAGAATTCCCGAGGCCGGCGTGAGGCATTCTGGGAGCTGAATTGAATTCTTTATTGGCCAAGTGTGGCTGGACACACAAGGGATTTGTCTCGGGTGCATAGGCTCGTAGTGTACACACATACAAACAACAAAGGGATAGGTTGTATATAAGCGAAAGACCCCTCACGCATCATCACAAAATCTCCAGGACCGTAAAGCCTACAAACTTGAAATTTGGCACCTATGTTCCTCTTGGCTTCTAGGGGCTTACTAAGAAAGGATTTTTTAAAATGACCATCAGAGTGTTATTATTTCCTATATTATTATTAATATGCTCTGATACTAAGGAGTTCTACTCCCTCTCCCCACCTGAAAAGAAATCTCTTCCAAATGCAAAACACAAGCAGAGGAGTTTTAGCTTCACAGCAGCAACCAGCTTTACTCCAGAACAGTTGAGCTAAGCCACGTCCGGGCTCCTTGCTGTCTCCTCCTTGCTCACACAGCAAATGCTGCTTCAGTTTCCAAACAGCCCTCAACTCAACACATGGACAGGATGCTAGCCAGATGAATACCGATGGATGCTGGTAGGCAGAGGCAGAATTTTCCCCTTTATTTCCCTCCCCAAATACTAAGCCCGACCACATAGTTTCGTAGCGAAGCACGGGGTACCCTGCTAGTGGATCATAAATCATAGTTCCAATTGTTCATCATAAGATACATATCCCAACAACTGCGGACAGAAAGGTTGTTAAAACGAGGCACAATGCTTTGAACGTCTCGCTTAGCAACAGAAAACGTAAAGCTCTACTGTCGTAAGTCGGGGAACGCCTGTGTTTGCGGTTTGTGCCAGAGTTATGTCATTTTTCTTCCTTTTTCTCCTCTTATACATTCCAGGAAGGCGAGAACAATGATAAATTCGTCACCCATCCCAAGGACCCCAAAGCTCTGGCTTCCTACCTCTTCGTCCACAACCACCTCTTCTATTTGATGGAACTAACCACCGCTCTCTTGCTGTTGTTGCTGTCGCTCTGCGAAGCCCCCGCGGTTGCCATATTTCGCCTGGGCATTTACGTATGTAGTTCCTGGGGAAGGTGGGGGGCCCGGGAGGATCCGGGGACAAGACGTTATGTGAGGCTTCCTCCCCAGAAACAGAAGAAACTCCAAACTCTTGGAGAAGGTTAGGATGGGTGACGAAGACCTTCCAACTACACGCTCCGTTTAGCTGGAATGAGGCTGGGGCTGTTTGTGGTTGTTCGTAGGTTGGGTTGTCGCGTAGGCCAGGATTCTCCAAATTTGCTTTTTAAATTCCCAGAATTCAATTCCCAGAATTCCTGAGGCCGGCATGAGGAATTCTGGGAGTAGAATTGAATTCTTTATTGGCCAAGTGTGGTTGGGCACACACGGGATTTGTCTCCGGTTCGTAAGCTCGCAGTGTGCACACATAACAAACAATGAAGGGATAGGTCACAGATCATAAATCCTAGTTACAAATCCGTTCACCACAAGATACAAGCAACAAGTGATAAATCGTAAGATACCAATAGGAGAAAGAGAGTAGGAAGGATAAGTAGATGAGAAATGCGGAAGATGAGAAGGATAGTAGCAGTACCGCCTACTGCACGAGTAAGGTCTAAGACAAGGCGGTGTCAACTCATAAAATACGGTCTTGTTAGAGTTGGCAACAGAAAGGGAGGGAGGGAAGGGGTTTGGAAAGAGCAGTGCGGCAGGTTGGAAATCAAAAGTGCATTCCATAAATAGTTTGTCAAAGATAGTTTCGAGGTGACTGAAGTTCCTGCCTCATAAATATCTAACAGGAGAACATGATTGATGACTCTTGGCTATGGATGTGTCCCATTGGAGAATATGAATTATGATACACCCAAGGGATGGGGGCAAAACCAGGGTCAAGGGTGACAATGAATGATGTGCCACAGAGTCGGCTACATCCAGGCAGTGCCGACATGTTAACTCCCAATAAATCCTTTTGAAGTTTTGGAAGTTTGGCTCGAGACTCGTGATTTAATTGGGGGAACTGCCATAATCCGGACAGGTGGTGGGAACGAGGTATTCAACTCCTAGAGTGGCCTTTAAGTTTGGAGAGCCCCTGATGTAGAATGCAGAATCCTAAGGCTGGAAGGGTTCCTTAGAGATCTTCTAGTCCAACCCCCCCACCCCCCCAAGGCAGGAGCTGTTTGGTTTTTTTTACAAATGAGCTGAGGAACATGGATCCTCGCCTCTCACTCTTCCCCCATCTGGTTTTAGGTCCATGCCACCTTGGAGCTGTTTGCCTTGACCATTGTGTTGTTTGAGCTCTCCATGAAATTAAGATGGCTGGGCTGCCATACCTACATCCGGCACAAAAGAACCATGGTCAAGGTAAGGCCTTACCTACCTAGCAAGAACTCACCTGGTATTTTTACCTGGAAATATATCCCAATCAGGTTTATTCTTGTTTCCTGTGGAGGTGGGGGTGAGAGACAGAGAGAGAGAGACACACACACACACAGAGAGAGAAACAGAGAGAGAGAGAGAGAGAGAGAGAGAGGAACAGAGAGAGAGGAACAGAGAGAGAGACACACACAGAGAGAGAAAGATGGAGAGAGAGACAGAGAGAAAGAGAGACAGAGAGAGAAAGAGAGACAGAGACAGAACGAGAGAGACAAGGAGACAGAGAAAGAAAGATAGAGAAAGAGAGACGGAAAGAGAGAGAGAGAGAGAGACAGACAGAGAGACACAGAAAGAGAGAGAGAGAGACGACGGAGCCCAAAAGTTATGTGGCTAAGTAAGTGAGAAATTTGCAAAGTGAGTTTTGTCCGACAGAGAGAGAGACACAGAGAGAGAGAGAGAGAGAGAGAGAAACAGAGAGAGAGAGACTGAGAAAGAGAGAGAGACACACACAAACACAGAGAAAGATGGAGAGAGAGACAGAAAGAGAGAGAGACAAAGAGAGAGAGAGAGAAAGAGACAGAGAGACAGAACGAGAGAGACAGAGAAAGAAAGACAGAGAAAGAGAGAAACAGAAAGAGTGTGTGAGAGAGACAGACAGACAGAGAGAGAGAGAGAGAGAGACGACGGAGCCCAAAAGTTATGTGACTAAGTAAGTGAGAAATTTGCAAAGTGAGTTTTGTCCTCCTCTACGACTTTTCTTGCCATGTTGGTTAAGTAAATACCTGAAATTAAATCCCTTAATGGCCGCTGTGATGTCCCCAGGGTCACATGATCAAAATTCAGGCAAACTTGACTTGTATTTATGACGGTCGTCGTATCCCGGGCTCACCTGATCCCCCTTTTGCCACCTTCTGAGAAGCAACCTCGACGGGGAAAACCAGAGGCATGTAAGAACCATGCTACTCATTTAACATCTGCAGTGGTTAAGCCAATCGCAGCCGTTACTAAGTGGATCACGAGGTCATTAATCAAATTTGGCTTCTCCATTGACTTGGGTGGGCAAAAGCTCACCAAACAGGATCATATAACCCCTCTCATAAATATGTTATAAGTTGCCAGGCGTCTGAATTTTGATCCCGTGACCCTGGGGAATTCTGCAACGGTGGTTAAGTGTGAAAAAAACGGTCACATGTCACTTTTTTCAGTGCCGTAACTTGGAACGGGTCGCTAAATGATGTTCGTAAGTTGAAGGCTACCTGTGTCCCCTTGAGAATTGCTTCATTCTCTTCCTCCCGTCCAAGTGATTTAAGCCCCGCCCCCTCTGGAGGATCCTCTGGAATGCAGCCCCTCCCCTCCCTCCCTCCCTCCTGGGAATCCAGGCCGCGTTCCACCGCACCCGATGCCTTTCTCTGATCTCCTCCTCCTCCTCCTGCAGACCTGCGTCCTCTTCCTGCAGTTTGTAGAAGCGGCCGTGGTGTTGGTGCGTCAGACATCCCACCTCCGCATCACGCGAGCCTTGCGGTGCATCTTCCTGGTGGATTGTCGTTATTGTGGAGCTGTGAGAAGGTAACAGGGTTAGGTTGTCTCCGACCAGGCTGGCGCGATGATGCTCTTGATCAGCATTTCTCTTTTCGCTTGCTTTTCGGCAAAGAATTGTGTAAAGGGTTGATTTGAGTCAAGTCCCAAAGACTCCCGTCAACTCATACAACATTTCTATGGCTGTTTTAGAGTTTGCCAACAGAAAAGGGAGAAGTGCGGCAGCTTGGAAATTGAAAGTGTATTCCATAAATAGTTTTTTCAGAGATAGTAACTAGGTGACTGAAGTTTCTGCTGTGCAAAATTCTAACTGGAGAACATGATTGATGACTCTGGGCTATGGATGTCTCCCATTGGAGAATATGACTTAGGATACATCCAGGAGGTGGGGGGAAAACCAGGGTCAAGAGTGACAATGAACGATGTGTCTCAGAGTCGGCTACTCCCAGGCAGTGCCGGCATGTTAATTCCCAATAAATCCTTTTTAAGTTTTGGAAGTTTGGCTCAAGACTCATGATTTAATTGGGGGTAACTGCCGGAATTCTGACAGCCTAACTGGAGGTTAGCTTGTACGCCACCGCTGAAATTATGGATGCCAAACGCGTTCGTAATCTGAGTTTTTCCTTGGACAGTAAATTCCCCAGAAGGGAAGGGTTGCATTCCAGAAAAGTAAGAGGCAACCCAGCCCAGATACGATACGTGTGTGAGAGAAAGAGGGCGAAGACAGCTCCTCCTCAAGAGGTCCCAAAATACAGGCAAGCCCCTTGACGTACAGCCAAGACGCCCCCCGAAACTACCGTCGCGAAATGCGGCATTTTGTTATGCGAGTTGTCAGCCCCATTGTACAACCTTTCTTGCCTCCCGTCGCAAAGTGAAGCCCCGCGGTTGTTAAGTTAGCGACGTGTCTGTTAAGCGAATCAGATCGTCTGTCAAAGGATTGCGGCCGAAGTTTCCATCGCCGAAACGTGACATTTTGTTAAGTGAGTTTTGTCCCATTTTACAAACTTCCTTGCCACATTTGTCAAGGGAATTTTCCCCGCTCCCTTTTTTTTATTTTTATTTTTTATTTTTTAAAGGTTAGCAAATTGTCTAGTCAAGTTTCTTTGTCCCAAAATTTGTTCTAAAATGTATTTGTTTGCAAGGGGAACTTTAAACGATGGTGCCGTTTTAATTTTTGGGGCATCTCACTCCATGTTTTTAAGGCATGGAATAATAATCGACGCGGAGAGAGAATTTTCCTTTCAAAGAGCTGCTGTTTTGTTTTTGTTTTTGCCTTGTATTTTCCAGAAACCTGCGTCAGATTTTCCAGTCTTTGCCTCCCTTCATTGACATTCTTCTCCTTTTGCTTTTCTTCATGGTCATCTTTGCGATTCTGGGTATGAATTTTTATCACTCTTCTATTCGTTTGTTTAAAGCGAAACGCTTTCAAGAAAGGCAGAAACATTTGTAGTAAAAGAGATCCGGACCAAACGTGTACTGAGAAGTCGTTCCGTCCCAAACCTTGTTCCAAGTAAACAAACGCCAAACAGAGATAAAAGCAAAACCTTTTAAGGAGAGATTATTCAATGCAGGTAGTTCTGGATTTACAAACACAGTTGAGCCCAGGATTTCTGTTGCTAAATGAAAAATTTGGTTAGGCGAGTTTTGCACCGACTTTCCTAGTATGAATTATGTTACCTAGTTTGGGTCGTGCAAGAAAACAATCTCGGCACCGACCCCTCGTGTTTGAAATGAGGACTCCCTCGTGTTTGGAAAAATGGAGAATAAAGCAATATAAAATGTGGGAATTGTTGGCTGCGCCTTGCATAATTTGTCTAGCTCAGGATTCTCCAAAACTTGGAACTTTTAAGACTTCTGACAAGAATACAACCCCGAGCTACAAATATTCTCCTTTTTTTCAGTAACACTTTATAGAGGTAATTTGTTTGATCTTTCTCTGTTCTTTCTTCTCTTGTTTGTTCTAGGATTTTATCTCTTCTCGCCAAACAAATCGGACCCTGTAAGTAAAATCATACATTCCGGCACTCTTTGACTGTTCTTGGGCACCATCACAAATCTTAACAGGGGAAACTTTTAAACAACTTTGGGTGACGTTTCAGTGAATTCCAGCGCTGTGCAGACAGTTCTGGATTAGCTGTGGTGTCAAGCAGCTGTGGCTCTCAGTTTGCCTCCATTTCCTTCCCTCTTTTTATATAAAGAAATGTGTCACCCAGGCAGGATTTGAAACGCCAACTCTTATTGGCATCGTTTTGCTTAACTGTTTTGCGAAAAAGAAAGTGGTGACATGCTTGTAATATGCTAAGCCGGGGAAATTACAGCCAGGAATTTTCAGGTTCATTGCTTTTTCCTGAAGCAAGGAAAACTTAAGACTTATTATTATTGCTAAAGGCATTTGAGATCCTTTCAGGCCACGAAATTCTTCTGAATTTGTCAATTCGGAGGCTACTGTGTCATTTTGCTTTCTCCTCCATGCCTTTTCATTCTTTTTTGCAGTATTTCAACACTCTGGAGAGCAGCCTGATGAATCTTTTCGTTCTTCTCACTACGGCCAAGTAAGTCTTGGGGTCTTGAAGAGCTGCACGGGAGGTAACGACAAGAGGTGGCAGGGCAGAGGAAAACTACCCGCGTCGTTTTTCCAGCAGCTCCTATTAAAGCATCTTTATTTGAAAGAGGGCGGGTGATGTCCTCTCTCCTGAATCAGAGTAACAGAAGAGTTGGAAGGGCGACCCTGGAGGTCTTCTAGTCTAACCCCATGCTCAAGCAGGGGACCCTATACTATTCCAGACAACTGGCTGTCCAGTCTCTTCTTAAAAGCCTCCAGGGATGGACCACCCACAACTTCTGGTAGCAAGCAGTTCCATGGGTTTTGTCTGGTGTAGGGTTTCCTGCTTAAGCAGTGGGTTGGACTAGAAGACCTCCAAGGTCCCTTCCAATTCTTATTCTATTCTATTCTAAATTTTTATTCTATTCTATTCAATTCTATTCTAAATTTTTATTCTATTCTACTCTAAATTCTTCTATTTCCTTCTTTATTCTATTCTATTCATTCTCGGTTCTATTCTATTCTAAATTCTTATTCTATTCTCTTTCCTTCTTTCTCTATTCTATTCTATTCATTCTCGGTTCTATTCTATTCTAAATTCTTATTCTATTCTCTTTCCTTCTT